GTCAAGTGATTATACACTCCTCGAAACTATTAGGGAACAGGCAGGGACAGGAATCATATTATCATTTATGTGTACAAAAGTGTATAAATAAAACTTCTTCCGCAGTTGCAGGTTCATGTGTGGTGTGTGTGTGTGTGTGTGTGTGTGTGTGTGTGTGTGTGTGTGTGTGTGTGTGTTTGTGTGTGTGTTGAAGGAGGACGGGGGGTGGGGGTGGTTGAACTAGACATAATAATATCGTAATTTTAACATTATAACTAACAAGAATAAGAGACCAGCGGGCTAACCCAGATTTCAGGGGTTTCCAGAAATCTTGATCTACACCAAAAGAGGGCATTGCCCTACCCATAGGAGAAGTTTGGTTTCATTGGCCATTGGTGTGTATATTTGTTTGGTTATAGACAAAACTTTTCTTGGCTTTTAAAGAAACTGAACAAGGCGCAACAACTTTAACTTCGATTTTCTCAAAGCAGCATTTTTTGGGACAGCACCCTTTCGCTTAAAAGCGACCATATGTGCTGTACAAACGCTATCTATCATTATTATTTTGTCTTGTTGGTCTCTGCATAAAGCATGAAGGTTGCACTGCCGCGATATGTTTTGTTAGATGGGATTTGCTAATTTACACGTAGCACACTGTCAATGAGAATGATTTAATTTAGAGTCACAGCCAGCCAGGTTTTCCTTTATGGAGAGGCAAAAGCTACCATTTTGGGGGGGAAAGGGGCACAATACGATCAATTCAGCGCACGACATTAAAAAACAAACGTGTTTTATTTTTTAAAGGTTATAGTTGGATTCAGTTGAATTCGATCTTACTGTGCTTTAGCCCCCCCCCCCCCCCCCCCCCCAGCGGGAAAAATCCCTCTGGCCTCGACTGAATCAACAGAATCCGATTGGTAGTAGGCACTGAGTGTAAGATATTGGCCAAATTGATAGGATCAGATCGATTGATAGCGGCATCAACGCAGGATCTTCCTTTCTGCAGCAAAGGCAGAGAAAACGTTGACCTTTGGAGACCGAGAAACTTGGTGCAGAGATTATAACAAGCGCCGCACGGCATTGTTGTTGGCATGGTTACTGCGTTCACAACACTGCCATTTCTTTCAATACTGACTTCAATGCCGACAGCCGCATGTCGTGGTTGATTATATGGAGAGGTTCTTGGGGGAAAACATGGTAAATTTTGATATAGCATACAGTCAATGTCTCCACCAAATCAATAATGTCAATTATCGTATTTCACCTACAAACAAAAGATCTGACTCTGACCTCGCAATTAATGTCATATCTACTAGCCTTGTGATTGGCTGTTACCATCGACGAGTCAGATTTTTGACCAAGATAAACAAATTATAATATGTTTGATATTGCAGGATTTAATCGAACTGTACCGATTGCCCTTGCATAAAGA